AATCTCAGTTTGTGTCTCAGTTCTCATATTCTCAGGGTATATTCCAAGTAGTGGAATAGGTGGGTCATATGGAATTTCTATATTCAGCTTTTTGAAGAAGTGCCAAACTGCCTTCCAGAATAGTTGCACCATCTTACAATCCTACCAACAATGTATAAGAGTTCCTTTCTCACCACATCCCCTCCAACATCTATTACTTGCTGCTCTGTTAAACTTTCCCAAGAGACAACCCGGGATCAAGCTTGGAAGCTCTAGTCCAAGGTATAAAAATACTGCCAAATGCAATCAGAAATGCACAATCTAAAGAGGATAAAATTGATACATGGGACCTACTAAAGATTAAATCCCTGTGCACATAAAAAAATTTCCCCCAATGGGGTGAAAAGAAAACCTACAGACTGGGAACAAATATTTGCTAATACCATCTCAAACAAGAGTCCTATAACAAAAGTTTCAAAATACTCCTGGGCCTCTACAAAAAGAAAGACTGATAAGCCAATTACAAAATGGGCAAAAGACATGTAAAGAATTTTCACAAAGGAAGATACTCGAATGGAAAACAGACACTTGAAGAAAAGCTCCAAATCACTAGCAATAAGAGAGATGCAAATCAAAATCACAATGAGGTACCATCTCACTCCAGTAACGATGGCATAGAAAGAACTTTAATTGACTAGTTGCTGTCGTATCAGTTCTGGCTCATGGGTGGAACTGTGTCCCAAAGGATTTTCAGTGACAGGGCTTTTGACAGTAGATCACTAGGTCTTTGCTTTGCCTCTGGTTGAAATCAAGCCTCTAGATACTCAGTTAACAGCTGAACACGTCAGCCATTTGTGCCACCCAAGGACTCCCAGCAGTCCCTGCACAGTCGTCTGATCTGATGCTGTTCTGTACAAATGTCAATTCCTGAAGTTAAATGGCTTCACTAAGTTTGTTGTTGAACTGTCTGGATTTTTATTGTCTTTTTTTAAAAAAAAAAATTAATTTCACTGAACATTTACAAAGATTTTGGATTTCCATTCATTGTTGCACTTTTCTCCCCACCCACCCCCAGTTCGCTCTTCTCCTTGAAAAGCAAAAGAAAATCTCCTTCATTGGTACACAATCCCCCCATACCCCCCCACCCCCATCCCGAGTATACTCCACTCTGCAACCCTCATTCCGAACCCCTGTGATAATCATAATGCCCCAAAATATGTTACTTCTAAACTGTTCTCTCCCTCATCGGCTTCAATGTAGTATACATCATTTATCCAGTTTTTCTCAGTCTTACCCTCACCCTGATGTCAGCCTCATTCTGCAACAGTGTCTTTTTTCGGGTGCTCCATGAAGGAGGTTTAGGTTTTCTTGATTTTTTTGGATGTTTTAGATTTAAGGGATGATGTAGAGTATCCGTGTAAGTACTTCTTTCTCTGAGTAAGAATAAAATAGAAAAGTTCATGTGAAAGGATGAATATTTCTAGATTCAAGTCATATTTCATTCATTCATCAATCATTCATGCTCTATTTCTTGTGTGTGCATTTTGTCCACACAAGATTTGGAAACAGTGGTGAAATAAACAGAAAAGATACTACTTCTAGGAAGTTCTTGTTTCAGCAGAGGAGCCAGGCAATAAAGCAAATGAATAGCAAAATAATTTCAAGGAGTAATATGTTCCTGAGAGAAAAGTGAGCCAATAAAAAAATTAACAATTGAAAATGTTGACATAAAGACATTCTTGCAGGATGTTCATTGTGAGTAGGTGCAGTTGAGTCAAGTGAGACTCATAGCTATTCATGAACAACATATCAGAACCCTGTCCTATCGTGCGCCATCGTCATAATTTCTGACACACTAGAGCCCATTACCGCAGTCACTGTGTCAGTCCATCTGGTTGAAGGTCTTCCTCTCCTTCACCCTCCCTCCACCTTCCCAAGCACAATGCCCCTCTCCAAGGAATACCCTCTCCTAACAACATGCCTGAAGTATATAGGTTGAAGCTTTACCATCCTTACCTACAAGGAACACTCTGGCTGCACTTTCTCCAAGACAGGATAGCTAATCTTTTACTATCAGATGATTTATTGTTGCTCTTTTCTCCCTCAAAATATTCCTCTTTAAGATATATTGCTTTATTGTGGTTTTGATTTGCATCTCTCTTATTGCTAGTGATTTGGAGCATTTCTTCATGTGTCTGTTTGCCATTCGAATATCTTCCTCTGTGAAAATTCTTTCCATGTCTTTTGCCCATTTTGTAATTATCAGTCTTTTTCTTGTGGAGGCCCAGGAGTATTCTGTCAACTTTTGTTATAAGACTCATGTCTGAGATGGTATTACCAAATATTTGTTCCCAGTTTTGTCTCAGTTGTATGAAAATATAAAAGTTTTTGGTAATTTTAACACATCTATGAAGGCTCTTCGATCTTACAAAGTTAAATCATGAAATATAGTATACTTTATTTAAAAACAAAATAGAGATAAAATACTTAGACTTTAAGATGCTGTCAAGACATCAGTTTTATTTTGTTAGGTACTATTGAGTAGACTCCAGCTCATAGCTTCCCTGTGTACAACAGAACCAAGCCCTGCCCAGTCCTCTACCATCCTCATAATTCTTTCACGTTTGAGGCCATTATTGAAGCCACTGTTACTATAACTCTCAGTGAGAGTCTTCTTCTTTTCTCTAACTCTGTATTTTACCAAGCATGGTATCCTTCTCAAGACACTTTTTCCTTTTACTAACATGTCCAACGTATGTGAGATGAAGACTCATCAACCTTACATCTAAGGATCATTCTGGAAGAACTTCTTCCAAGACATGGTTGTTTGTTCTCTGGAAGTCCATGGCATCTTCAATATTCTTCACCAAAGTTCCAATTCTTCTTCTGTCTTCCTTATTTGTTGTCCAGCATTTGCATGGCTACAGAGTGACTGGAAACACTTTGATTTGGCTGAGTCAGGTACATCTTAATCCTCAAAGTGACATCTTGATTCTTTAACACTTTAAAGAGGGCTTTTGCAGCACATTTGTTCAATGCAATGCATCACTTAATTTTTTTACTGCTGCTTTCGAGGGTATTGATTGTGGATTCAAGTGAAAGGAAATTCTTGACAACTTCAATGTTTCCTCCATTCATCAGGACATTACTTCTTGATCCAGTTGTGAGGATTTTTGTTTTCCTTGATGGAAAGATGTAATCCATACTGAAAGACAGTCTTTTATCTTCACCGCTGTTTGAAGTCCTCTTCACTTTCAGCAAGTAAAATTGTATCATCTGCATATCACAAGTTATTAATGGGCATTCTTGCTGACACACATTGTTCTTTATATAGTCCAACTTCTCTGATTATTTGTTCATCATACAGATTTAATCAGTTTGACAAAAGGAAACAACTTTGACACACACATTTCCTGACCTTAAATCCCCTTGTCCTGTTCATTGACTCAAAGTCATATATTGGTTCTCAATACTTGTTTTCCTTTTACTGAGCTTCAGTTTGAATTTGCACATAAGCAGCTGGTGGTCTATTCTCCAGTCCAAAGCTGCCCTTGGTCTGACTGACATTGATCTTCTTTAGAGTCTATTTCCAGTACATGCACTCCTTCATTACTGTCAAGACAGAAGCTCCTCATAGCTGACCCTTCATTGAGTGGCAGATCATCAGAGGTGATTGCCCATCTTTCTCCAGTGTGATATTTGCAAAGAAAGAAAGCTGGGCCAGAGCTTTCCCATACTGTGTGTGTAGGGTGTCTTGAAATACAAGTATGAAGTCGGAATTTTATTTTTGGTTAATGGAGAGTCAGAAAAGAGGAAAAGAAAACATAATTAAGTTGATTTGAAAGAGAAATCCTACATGTAAAGGCCATTGGGAAAACATAAAATCTACAGAAAAAGATTGTACTAAGAACAACAGTGGTGTAAGTTGTTGTTGTTATGTGCCATCGAGTCGCTTGCAACTCATAGCTACCGTATGTACAAGAGCTCTAAATACTGTTCTATCCTGTGCCAACCTAACCATCTCAAATGCACTTATTCCCACCGCTCCGGTCACAGAATCGGTCCATCTCATCAAAGGTCTTCCTCTCCTTCGCCGCCCCTCCACTCTGCCAAACATGATAAAATAACATGGTTTTTCCTTTCACACATATGTATTCCAGTGTAAAACAACAAAATAAAATACACCCTGTTCTTATTAAACTTTTCCATTTATAAAGAAAAAAGATTGAAAAATCACTAATTCATTTAGCCAGTTTATTTATTTTTAGATTTTCAAAATAGTTTCTAAAATAATCAAGGCAGTGGTATCTCTACCCAAGAGGTCCTCTTAAAGAAAAGAAAAGAAAGTGTCTTCAAATTCATTGCTGTTGACTCAGAACTGGCTCAGAGCTGACCCTGCAGCAGGTGTTTGGAAGCTGGTGCTTGCACAAGAGACTGCCCATCGTCCTCCCACAGAGCTGCTTGTGGATTCCGAATTGGTGCTGCCTTTACTTAGCAGGGTAATAGTCTATGGATTGTTGTTATTACTTTGAGTCATCAAGTTGACTATGACCAATAATAACTCTATGCTCAATGAATCGGAACCCTGCCCTTTCCTATAACATCCTCATCAGCTCTGATAGACTTGAGTTCATTGTTATAGTCACTTTGTTAATACATCAAGTTGAGGATCTTCCTTTCTTACCCTGACCCTCCAATTTTCCAAGCATGATGCCTTTTCCTAAGGATTGACCCCTCCTGATGATGTGCGCAAATACGAGATGGAGCTTCACCGACCTTGCTTGCTCCCAGGACTTCTCTGGTTGTATTTTCTCCAAGACAGATTTGTGTGTTTCTTTGGAAGTCCAGGGGATACTCAGTCCTCTTCTCCAATAGGATGACTCAAAGACATTGCTTATTCTATCATCCTTCTGCATTGTCTAACTTTCAGCTGTTCCTTGAAGGTCCTACATTAGAAAATATCTTTCCTTTCAAGTGCATACTCTTTAAAACTTTCTAACATCCACTAATTCAAATTGCAGGAATGCTGTAGAAATCAGAAGCAAGAACTTTGTGAGAAGTTTGATTACTTGTATGGCATCCTGGAGGAGAGGAAGAATGAAATGACACGAGCCATCACCCGGACACAAGAGGAAAAACTAGAACATGTTCGAGCTTTGATCAAAAAGTATTCTGACCATTTGGAGAATGTATCAAAGTTGGTTGAGTCAGGAATCCAGTTCATGGATGAGCCAGAAATGGCAGTGTTTCTGCAGGTAAGCTTTTTTGACACCAGAGAAAACAAACTAAGAAGGTAGGTACTGAAGACTTCATTGTTATCATATCTTGATGTGAAAATATCTTATGAGGCACTTTTACTAGTCAGGGTCCATCTCATTTCGACCTGTCTTACCAGCATAATTGTAAATCCACCCTTTGTTCATATATTTAATTGATTAAATAATGTAACAAACATTTCTTTAACTTTGCTTAAGCATAAGAGAATTCTTCTATAAAGCAATTATTTATGACAATTAGAAATTAACCTATGAGATTTTGAGATCAGTAAAGCAAAGAAGTCTCACTATCATTTTTGACATAAAGAATTTAAGCAGCCCTGTCTTTTGTTTGCTTTCGCAGAATGCCAAAACCCTGTTACAAAAGTAAGTAGGTTTTTATTTTGTGGGGAAATGCATACTTTCATCCAAGGCTCTGTGACAGCAAGTAGCAACTTGTCTTTTTGCAGAATTTCTGAGGCATCGAAGGCATTTCAGATGGAGAAATTAGAACATGGGTATGAAAATATGAGCCACTTCACCGTCAACCTCAATAGAGAAGAAAAAATAATACGAGAAATTGATTTTTACAGAGGTTTGTTATTCTTTTGACCATTTGGCCAAAACTGCAGGTGTGTGAAAGCAGCAGCAGGGTTCAGTGGGAGAGAAGGGGCCTCAGATTCACCTACAGAATGAATGTCGACATCTTTACAAGGATTATAATTGAAAGTGAAGCTCTGTCTCATTACAGAACCATATTACTTGTTGACAGGATTTAGTCAGCTTTGCATATCAGAGTCTATTATCAAGCCATTTAGGGCATTGAAAACTGAGTAATACAACAATAAATTGATGGTAATGTTGACATCTCAACCTTAGCCATACACAAGATGTTAGCCACTAAAATGAAATATCATCAGGTGAAAAATGAAGGATGAAATAAATATAAAGCACAGATGACATCAGAGTTGGATATTGTAGCCCATCTGCTTAACTGAACTTTAGAAATCAAGAATAATAACAGGTCACAATCCAGAAACAAAGTTAAGTCTGTATGCTTTATGCGCCTTACACTACACTGTGAGCTTCAAACACAGCTCTATGCTTTGCCCCAGATTTCCCACTCCTAGAATTTATCTTGATAAAATTATGAAAAGAGAAAAATAGCTCTGCTACTAACAAAACCTTTGAGCATCTTCATTCATTCAGGTTCATCTAGATGACATGACCTCTCAGCGTGGTGTCATAGACTGTCCCAGTGTCCACCAACTTATACATAGAAGAAAATAATAAAAAAGGATTATTTATAAAATGCTTACTGCATGTCCTTAATATGGTCTGCAGTCAAGCTCATGGAGTTAGCAGAAGACTCCTGACATTAATTTTGGCAGCAGTTAGTATTCACTGAACAAAGGAGGTGAAAAATGAAAACAAGATGAGTGAGAATGGTACATGTTTGCTGAGAGAGGGCAGAGAATTGTATTTCAGTTCAGTTCAACAGAGGCAAATAGGTGACAATCCCAGCCCTCCAAATCTTTGGCAAGTAACAGACCATAATGAATATGTTGGCAATCTCTGGGGCTGTGGGTAGGACTGCACTTTAATCCTGGGGACAGAAACAAGGAGGAGTGTAATGGCTGGATGCCCTTTCACATTTGTCCTGTCTATACAGACCTGGAACCACCAGGCCCCAGGTTAGCTTACTTGGGCTATTGTGAGAAAAGATGTCTCTAACTTGGCTCATCAGGACTAATTGTTAATTGCTCCATGACTGTGGTGGTAAGGATAATGATTAAAAAATAGATTTCATTACCTTACCAGAAGAGGAAGATGAAGAAGAAAGGGAAGGAGATGCGGGAGGAGAAGAAGAAGGAGTAGAAGTGGAAGAGGTGGAAAACATCCGAACAGAGTCATCAGGGGATGAGGAAAATCCTGAGAAAGCCTCTCAGTCCTCTCCACTGGCCTTGGAGCTCCCGGTGGCCTCCGGGGCCCTTCCTGTTCCACCTTCAGAGCCACTTCCTGTCCTGCCATCTCCTGCTGCTGAGGCCCTGGTGACACAGGTAACTCTTCATTAAGTCTTCCCTGAAGAACCGACAGTCAGGTAGCTTCTTTGCAGAACAGCCTGAACAATTTGTTCATAAGGAATAATATAAGGAAAAGATAACTGTATGCCCAGGTATTTGAATATGGAAGGCAAAATATTCCTGGTCAGTCAGGATGTCTGAGGAAGAAAGATCTTTGGGAGATTTGACAAATCATTGTTGATGTAGCTGGCTGGCAAAGACTTTCTTGAACAAGATTTCCCCATTAAAAACACCTTCTAATCTGAGGGTACCTCTGTCTAAAAATTGTGCGCGTGTGTATCTGTGTAAAATATTAATTTGTCGATGAAGGCTTGAGCCTATTCCGTCTTCATTATTGAATTTAAACACGATATAGGAGGAGAAATAATATAGAAGGAACAATAAAGACGATTATGTTTTCAGAATTTTAATTTTTCTGTAGGTAATAAAAGAAGTGTCTACTAAAATCATACTAATTTACCTCCTTGTTGCTGCTCATGAAATACAGCTTTTATATTGCTTTCTAAGGGCAAACAAATACTCCCTGGTTTCCTATGGATTTGCCATTTGATGACATTTCATATTGAGAGATTGTTTAGGAAATTGCTTTATCACAAGTACTTTACCTGGCTGGCTGAGGTAGTATTTTTGAGGTGTCACTGTCCTGTGCTCAGGCTTTTTCTGACTCCTTGACGCCTTCAGCAGACAGGATTCAGGATTCCAGTCGAGATGGTGTTCAGGCAATACTACTCATCAAAGAGGGGCCTTCATTTTATCCATACCTTCAGGGTGAATTGAAATGAACTATAGTAACAAAGCTCAGAGGGGATTCAGAGATGGCATATAGTCCATCTCTGTCTCTGCAGGAAACCAGGCTAACATGACCCTTCTCAGGGCCATTCATGGTCCTGAGAATCTTGAAATTATCAGGCACATAATTGCACTGAAACTGAAAGTAGTATGACAGCCAAATGAGGCTTGGACTTGATAATTAAAATAAATTTTGGGCTTTAAAAATGAGTGCTCCACATATAATGCAATAAAAGTCTTTCTGGTCAATAGTTTGACTGTTAGGTCACATCCAATATTTTATAAGGAATTTTAATTTTAGGCTTCTGTTTATACCTGACCTGGGTGGCTTGTCCTTATCCATTGCCATTGAATTGTAATGAACTGATAGCTGACCCTCCACTGGGTTTTTGAGGCTACACATCACATGGGAAGAGACTGACCATTTTTTCTTCCATGGAATCATTTTTGGATCAGCATAATCCCTGACAGACTAGGCCACCGGAGCTCCCAGGATATCATTTAGTGGAGCATAAACTCCGAAAAAGAGAGGGGGCACCTTCAGATTTCAAGACAAAGGACGCTGCCATAGGCATCCCTCCCCTTAGCACTCAGGAGGGTGGGGAGAGTTGAAATAGAGCCAG